GGGCTGGGGATTCGAACCCACCACCTTAGGTGTACGTGGCTGGCGCCTTAGCCGGTTGAGCTATAGGCGCCTGAGCTATAGGCGCCGAGCCACTGTTTTTAACTCTTAAAGAACAGACATCTTGAGTGGCACCTATGGTTCAGCGGGTAGGGCGCTGGCCCCATATACTAAAGGTGGCGGGTTCAAACCCAACCCCAGCCAAATTGCAACAAAAAAATAGCCAGGTGTTGTGGTGGGCGCCTGTGGTCCCAGCTACTTGAGAGGCTGAGGCAAGAGAATCGCCTAAGCCCAAGAGCTGGAGGTTGCTGTGAGCTGTGATGCCACAGCACTCTATCAAGGGCAATAAAGTGAGACTGTCTCTACAAAAAAAGACAAAAAAACAAAAAAACAGACATCTCCTAAAATGTTACTATTCTGTATATTCTTTTGTGATCAGGAAAATAAAAATGAGGCCAGGCATAGTTGCTCACACATATAATCCCAGCATTCTGGTAGGCTGAGGCAGGAGGATCACCTGAGCCCAGGAATTTGAGGTTGCTGTGAGCTGAGAATGCCACAGCACTCTCCCAGGGCCACAGAGCAAGACTGACTCAACATTAAAAAAAAAAAGAAAAAGAAAAAAGAAGAAGAAAAAAGAGAGTAAAAAAAGCCTACAAGACTTAAGGGACTCCATTAAGTGAACAAATCTAAGTATCATGAGCATTCCTTTGCAAGAGGCAACAGAAAATCTATTTATAGGCTCAGTGTCCATAGCCCAGTGGTCAGGGCACCAGCCACATGCACTGAGGGTGGAGAGTTCAAACCGGCCCAAGCCTCCTAAACAACAATGACAACGACAACAAAAAATTAGCCAGGTGTTGTAGCAGGCATCTATAGTCCCAGATACTCAGGAGGCTGAGGCAGGAGAATGGCTTAAGCCCAAGAGTTTGATGGTGCTGTGAGCTGTGATGCCACAGCACTCTACCGAGGGCGACAAACTCAGACTCTTGTCTCAAAAAAAAAAAAAAGAGAAGGGTGTTTACGGGTATCATGTAATAAAAGAGGTTATGTGGCCAAATGGGTGTGGAAAGCAGTAGAGCGAACCCATAATATGGGGACTCCCAGGACTTTCCCTCAGGAAGCCGGCAGCACAGCCAGGCGTAGTTTTCCTGATGATGGGAGCCATAGCCAGCTCTAACAGACAACTTTCCTGACAGGCACTTGAGAGTCAGGCACTGGCTGGGACCGGTGCTTTCAGGTTGTGGTCCAGGCTGCTGCCTCAGTGGGTGGATACAGTTGGAGGAGGATTAGCCCTCTGGGAGGTGATGCACACCTATCTTGAGAATCAGGGTAGAGCAAACCTGGGGCAGGTGAGAGAGGGCAGGAGAATGTCATGTTCTGTTTCCTGAGACCCAAAGTGCTGATATTGTGCAGAGACTGGGAGACTGGCAAGAGCTTTGGGTGAACTGACACGAGGGTCCTGCTCTCAGGGGAAAGGCTTCTTGATCATTTCTTGTGAGGCTGGTCTAGTACAGATAATTCCCTCCTCAGTTTTTGTTCTTCCCTGAAAGGACTCTCTCTTCTTCCTCATTCCTGAAGCATAGCCTCGCTGGGTATAGCGTCGTTAGCTGGCAGTGTCTCTCCTGGATAGCCTCGCTGGGTATAGCGTAGTTGGCTGGCTGTGTTTCTTCTTTCAACACTTTGGACATCTCCCATTCTCTCCTGTCTATGAGAGATTACTGCAGAGTGGTCTGCTGCTGATGTGATGGGGATTCCCTTACCTGCAATTTCATGCTTTTTTCTTGCTGTTTTTAGAATTCTTTGTCTTTAACTTGTGACAGTTTGTAGTGTGCCTCAGAAATGACTTTACTGGGTTGACTATTTAGAAATTTTTGAGTTTCTTTTGGTTCTGAATATTCATACCTATCCTGAATCTCAGGGGGAAGTTTTCTGCTTTTTTTTTTTTTTTTTTTGAGACAAGAGTCTCACTATGTCACACTTGGTAGACTGCCATAGCATCACAGCTCCAGCAACCTCCAATTCTTGGGCGTAAGCAACCCTCCTGTCTCCTCCTAAGTAGCTGGGACTACAGGCATCTGCTGCATAGGCACCCGGCTATGTTTTTTGTGTTGTAGTTGTCATTGTTTGGTAGGCCCAGACAGGGTTTAGACCTACCAGCCCCAGTGCATGAGGTTGGCACCCTAGCAGCTGAGCTACTGGCACCAAGCCTAAACACCCTTCTCAACTAGAAATGCACTCTGGAAAATGCTGCCGTGTCACACCCAGTTTCCCATGGCCTGGAAGAGGCAATGTTCACTCCAACAGTACTGAGTTTCCTCTAATGGCCCAAAGTGAAAGTACAGGCTTTTCCTAAATAATCACATTTTCTAAAGGTTAAATTCATTAAACCATCAAATACAGAGATGTCTCTACATGCAAGAACAGAGCAATAGTCAGGACACCTGCATTTTAGTTTGATACCAACTAGGCTTCTATAATGTCAGGTCATCAAATCACTGAGGGCATCATCTCAACTATAAAATGAAATTCTGGACTAGTATGGCTAAACTCCTCCTTCTAAACTTTGGGATGGGATTCAGAATTACTAAGTAAGAAGTACACAATATATCAGGGTGATTTACCTGATCGTCTTCAGAAAGTTCAGCTATTCTCTTCACATCACATTTGTTTGCCACAACGATAAGAGGCTGCACAAGGAAGAAAACAACAGAATTGTTACTCCCAGGGAGCAGGATGTAAGATGAAACACGATGCACCACACTTGCCTTGTTGACAAAGAGGGGCCGGATGTTCTGGAAGAGCTCCAGCTGTTCCTTTAGCCCGTGGCCACACTGCTCAGACAGATCCATCACATACAGGACAGCGGCGCGCAGGTGGGCCAGGGCTGTGATGGCCTGCATCTCGATGGTGTTCCGATCTTCCAAGGGGTGATCCAAAATCCCTGGAGTGTCGACAACCTGAAGACCAGACTTCATCACTCCAAGTGCACTCCTCACTAGGTGACCTCAGAAGTCACACCCACGGACCCAACCCACACCTCACAAGACCCAAGAACAAAACGTGCACCCCTAAACTGAACATGGTGGATGCACATAGCGGGGAGAGAAGAGCGCATACTCTTCGAACACTTAAGGGGGAACCTACAGAACTCAGTCAAGACCTGGAGAAAAATGATTCCTCTTGGCATCACTCATAAATTAAATTGCACTGCACAGACAACTTCATGCTTCTAAACAGCACATTTGCCATTTTGGGTTTTTTTTGTTTTTTTGAGACAGAGTCTCACCATGTCACCCTCGGTAGAGTGCCATGGCATCACAGCTCATAGCAACCTCAAACTCTTGGGTTTAAGTGATTCTCTTGCCTCAGTTTCCCAAGTAGCTGGGACTACAGGCACCCACCACAATGCCCAGCTATTTTTTTGTTGTTATAGTTGTCACATTGTTTGGCAGGCCCAGGCCGGATTCAAACCCGCCAGCCCCAGTGTTTGTGGCTGGCACCCTAACCACTGAGCTACAGGCGCCGAGCCACAGTTGCCATTTCTAATGATAGTTGAGAAACAATTCAAAGAGGATTTCATTTTATGCTGATGTAATGCAGAAATCCACACTAGCAGCTAGGGCTTCCCCTGAATTTCATCAGAGAATGTGAACCGCCCTGACAGGTCCCAAGCTCAGAGAAGCTTCCTCTGTGCTGACAGAAAGATTCCAAGTTATAAGTAACCCAGGGAATCTATTTCCTCCCCACAGAATCCTCCCTAGAGGATGCTGCTCACAGCCAATTCTACACCAAGTGCTCCATGAAATACACGGTACTTAAGTTGTTTAGAAATTATCACAATCAAATTCCATTAATAGTAAAGATGCTGGTTCTGTCTACAGACCAGACTCTCACCTGCCAGCGCAAATACTTGTAATCCATGTGCCCAACAAACAGAGATTTGGTCGTGAACGCATAGGGCTGGACATCCACATCTGCTCTCGTGACCTGAAATGACAGTTAAGCTTGCACGTTACCCTGGGTCCTGCCCTGCCATTACCCTTCTGTGCAGAGCAGCTGCATGGTACCAAGACTCATGTCTAGTCAAAAAAAAAAACACACAGGCTGGACATGGTGGCTCAAGCTTGTGATCCCGGCTCGGCGCCTGTGGCTCAAGCGGCTAAGGCGCCAGCCACATACACCTAAGGTGGCAGGTTCGAATCCCCAGCCCGGGCCCGCCAAACAACAAT